ATGATTTTACTATGATGTTTTGAGAAAACATTTATTATGACCAACTTTTGGGACAATGAATGAATGATTTTGACTTATTTAAAAATGAACTTTTTTACTCGGTATTTTTGGGGCGTTACAAGTTTTTTTCCAGAGCCTTGGTTTGAGAGATTCGGGCATACTCTCGGGTGTATCTGAACTCAAACTGAGGATTTCTAAAATCTTTTAAAAGGAAATGATTTTCTAAAAAGATTTTCTAAGAAAAGGGGTACGATGCTTGCAATCAGCCGAGCTCAAGTAAGTTTTCCTAAGATACCCATACATGTGATATGTTTATTGTTTTGGTATGAGTATTTGAGAATTGCATGCTAGATTAGGTCTAAGGATCCGCTTAGGATTTGCATGATAAAATTATTGGATATATGCCTTTATATGCCTGTTGATTGAGCTTTTGGAACTGCATGCTAGTATGGATTTCAAATTGTTTGATAAAATGGTCTGATTTAAGTGAGGCACTGGTTTAGATTACTCGATGCTTGAATGCTGCTTGCTTTGTGATTTTAGGGAATACGTTCGGTTACATGTTGCGGGGATTAGATAATTTTAGAAGGTTAGGTTTAACTCTATTGCGCAACTCTTCTTTGAGTCCAACCGTTGTAGTGTGAGACCTTGTAGTCGAAGAATTATCTAGTGCTTGTGGCATGTAATTGTATTCATGAGGTAGGTAGTAGGTATCAGAGGGAGTCTCTTCTGCAGCTGATGGCGGAGAGTGGTGTGAAGGGAACCCTAGGAAAGCCTAGGAAGAATGATAGAATGTGCTTGTATGGGCATTTTTGGAAGGGGATCCTAGAAGGAGAATCCTGGAAGATTAGCAGTGTGCGCTTACTTAGAGGATCCAGAACGATTTTTGAGGAAAGTACGAATAGGTGTGGAAGGTAGTATTGGGCCCGTACTTGTGACATCCCCAAATTCACGGCCAGAAATGACCGATTTGTTTATGCTTTATTTGAAAATCAGAGTATATTATTAAAGAAATATATTGCGGAATTTGTTCCCAGAAAACATGATAAATATATTATGAAAGCATTTCCGAAGAAATGTATTTTGTTTATATTAAAACTTTGGGATGTCATCGTCAATACAAAAAAACATAAGCATAAACGGACCTTATTTACACTAGTGATTTAGATCTCCTTTAATCTCTTAGTGTAATATAGTTTCGTATCGATACTTGTGATACAAATATATTGAGTGGGTCAGGTTTGGAAACCTGGTGAGTACATTGGGTTTTCAACCCATAATAATATAATTATTATATTTAATCATCAAACAATCAACCCAATTACCCATCCCCATTATCTTCTTTAATCTTAAGGATCTACCCTAAGAATCATCTATCCTTCATTCCTAAGGATTGACCTAAGGAATAGGCACGAAGTCCATCACTGCCCGAGGTTTATACAACAAGCACTAAATCCATAGCTGCCAAGGTACTAAGTACATAGCTACCAATGTTCATCTATACGGTACTAAATCCATAGTTACCAACGTACATATATAAGGCACCAAGTCCATAACTGCCAGGGTTCTTAAATTACAACTGGTGAACACATAGTTCAAAACATCTAGTAAACACGTAGTTCAAATATACCTGGTAAACACATAGTTCAAAACATCTAGTGAACACACAATTCAAAATTACTTAATGAACACCTAGTTCAAAAAACACCTAGTGAACACTTAGTTCAAAAATACCTAATCCATACTTCCGGATCTAAAACTAACCTCTTTACCTGATCCATACTCCCAGATCTGGTATGTCTGATCCATACTCCCAGATCAATAATTGTGCCCATTCCATACTCTCGGACTAGGGACAATTAACTATGTCTTAATCCATACTTCCGAATTAATAACAAATAACTATGTCTATACTCTGCTAAATGACTAGATCATTTTAAACATCGAGACCTCTCATCAATTTTTTTTAATCACACATCATCTAATTCATCTACCCATGTTTTACCCAACATATTTGTAGATATAAAATACATATACAGTTTAAATCAATTAAAATATGTATAAAATTGTTCATCCATCATAAATAGCAAGTATACAGATAATATGCACACATAGCACGTAATTTATATAAAATACTTCATATCTATGTGTAAGATGAAAATAATATGCACTCACTTTAGTAGCGTGAGTTGATAGAATCTAACTAGAAACGGTTGACGGTTCGTAATCATCGGGCTCGCGATGCGGAACGGCTTCAAAAAATGAGAGAGAAAGAAAGTAGAAGGTGTAAGGAATGAAAGGGTCTTGATAGCTATTTATAGGCTGTTCTGGGCCCATTCACGTCGTGAACATGATAGGTTCACGTCGTGAACTTTCATGAGTCATCCCGTAGCGTTAACACGTGTTTTATAGCCTCGATTAGTGTCCCTGACACGTTTCACGTCGTGAACTTCATGTTCACGTCGTGACTTAAGGCTGCTAGGGTTTTTGCCACGTGTCATGCCCTTAGACAGCTGCATCTTCGGAAGGCCATAACTTTTGCATACGAACTCCGTTTTTGACATTCTTTATATCCACACATAGGTGGAGACGTACTCTACAACTTTATTTTAGGTCACTAAGGCTAAAAAGTACTTTATCATAAACTCACTTTTTATGATTCCCGGTGTCGTGCTGGTTTTATCGCGAAACTTCGACAGGTCATAACTTCTTCGTTATAACTCGGATTTCAGCGTTCTTTATATGTACGGAAACCTTGTGACATATACTAAAACTTAGTTAAGATTATGTATTCTAAATAATCCTATATAAAAAGTCATTTTTGACTCTTATCGTATCGAAATTGACTAACCTGAATCTGTGGGCGTGACAATACTACTGAAAGCACATGATCTATACTCGAATTGAGGAAATTTCGGGGATTCTAAGGAGCTGATTGAGGGTAGATTGCATGGTTTGGCACCATGATTCACTGCAATGTGTTTTCCTCTTATTTAGTTTATCAGTTATGGTTGTTTAGGCTAAGGATGGACCTGGTGATTTATTGGGCCTTAGTGGTCATGCCAGTTTGGGTTTAAATGGTGCAGACCTAGGTGAGTTATTTGATTTTGAGGTCTCGAGGGCCTTGCTCGAGGTAGTTCCAGTTGAGTGGCAGAACTTAAGAAGGAAGTGATTGTGATGATCAGATCGAGGATTACAGTCGAAGGATGAGGGATTGGCAGTTGGATTGGGATGTCACTATCCACGACGGGGGTTATGCACTTCCATCTTTCCGTGTTCGGAGGAAAGATAGAGCATATATGTGATTTTCAGAGTTGGGATGTAGACCCAACATGGGGCTAGATAGTTGCGGTTTTTGGCGGCATGTATGGCAGTATGGGAATGCACAAGAGGATCCTTATGGTATGGTTGCCTTGAGATGAAATCAAGGGTCTACTTTCTTTGAATATAGTTAGGTAAGGTGCTAGTTGATTGTTTCATGTGATCAAGGAAGTGAATCGGGAACAACAACTATTGTTGTCTCTGATGTATCCCAACTATGAGAATGATGCCTTGTGTATTTATGAAAGATTCTCGCGATGAATTGATGGTTGGGATTTGCAGACGAGGTGTATGGTAGTCCAATTGTTTTTAGATAAAGAATCAGAGCTATGAATAAATCGTGATAGTTATTGTGTGTGCATCTTCAAGGGATTCTTGATGTTGGAGGTGGTTATGATTGGGAGGTTTCCGAGGTCTCCATCTGAGATTCAGAATATCTTTTGTTAGGATTAAAATCCTTAAAGATCGATTAGATTCAAAGAGAGGTAAATCAAGAACACAATAATGATTCAAGAATGTCGAATGATTAAACGTCACGCCTTAGAAGAACTCGATAAGGAAATGCTACTGTAGAGGCGTGATTAGGGTTACAACGTAATAATGAGAGTTAATTAAAATACGATGCATGCCTGCACCTTAAATACTCTAACCCTAGAATTAATAACGAGTGGACATGCCCAACTCGATAATACAAAAGACTAAATAAAAAGCCCAATGACGCAACATCTAATACCTAACAATCTCCCCCTTTGCGTCAATTGAGGCACAAAACCATTAGCCTTGGATTCGCTTCTGAACTTCTTAAACTTTAGGAATGATGCCAAAAATTGTCTTTCAAAGTTGCATGTACCACAAAATCATATCAGTGAAGCACTTGAGGTCATCCTTGCTGTTGCCTTTGTAATTGTTCACCAGATCCAAAATATACTCGAGGAAGTTAGTAGTGAACAAATGCTTGTCAGAAAGGAAGAAACAACCTCTGCGAAAGTCTGCACCACTTCGTTCCCTAGCTTGATACACCACATACCATTCCTTTCTGTAGATTTTCCCCAACTTCAGATTCTCAAAATCTTTTGGAGATTCCTTAAGAACAGCCGAAGGCTTCTTTCGCAACACCGCTACAACCTCTACGTCCATTTCCCCAATCTCTTGAATGTAAGACTTGATCAATATTTGGAGATGAAACATGACAGGTTCGTATTTGTCTTTTTCTTTCAGCAACATGTTGTAAAGAACGAACCAGTCATTAGGGTTGAGATAGGGTAATTCCGCGAGAGTGAACTCGTAGCACTGACTGGTTGAACCTCTTGCGACTTTGAACTTCGCGTTGGAAAGCTGTCAGTCTCGATTGGCCCAGTGAATTTCACACCAGTTATTTTGCTCAGGGACTATGTCTCGTATTGAGGCTTCATGTACTTCAAATAAAACGAGAACAACATCTTATCAGCTCCGCTGTCCGTGATAGGAACGTTCACAATTTTCACGAAAGCACGAAATCTGAAAGCCTTTGGAGTGATTGGTAGATCCAATTGCGAATCTTGTGTGTTTTAAAGATCAAAAGACACAATTGGCTCTAACCAATATTGGCTAGGTAAATCGACTGCATCATTCTGGATTCGTTTCAAGGTCCATTCGGGAAACAGAAGCTTCTTGCTTTGAAGAGTGGCCTGAGCCTCTTTCTAAGCTCTTTCTTTTTCTTCAGCCTCTCGAATGATACGTTGGTGCTCATCCAGTTTGGCTTCACGAGCCTTTCGTCTTTTCTGTTCGTTTTCATCAGACACTTCTTCTTCTTCATTATCAATAAAGGGATCATCACTGAACAATTTTTCTTTGAGCTTAGGTTCTTTCTTGACATCAGGTTGAACTGGAGCAACTGGTTTAACAGGAGCTTTGGGCTTAGGTTCTTTCTTGACATCAGCCCCTTCTCCCCCTTGTTTCGGAATGAAGCCAGATCCGGAACACCCTCTAATCTGTGAAGCATTGCAAAAACTGGTCTCACCTTTTCAAGTAGATGCTCGCGAACTGTGATGGTGAGCATTGAATCCCTGGTCTCAAGGATATCTGAGAGCATGCATGTAACATCAGAAATACAGCTTCGCATGACAGTCCTCTCAGATAACAAGTCATTGGCATGTTTCTCTGAAGCTTCCAGTTTGGCACTTAACACCTTTGCTTCTTCTGACTTGAGTGCGAGAGAGTCCTTGATGTTACTCTCCTTTATTAGTTCGTCTTTAAGCTGTGAAATCTGAGAGGAGAGAGTGGCTTGAAATGTTTCATGGTCAGTTTTCAGACCAGTGCGAATCTCTTGCAGTTTAGTCTTCTCAGTTTTGAAGAAAGAGCCTAGGCTCTTTAAAGCTTCATTGGCTGACGTGGTGTTAGAGTTGAAAGTGGTTTGGAAGTTGTCCATGAAAGTGGTAGTTTCAGCAATTAGTTTATCGACTTTTTCGGTCGTAGTCTTGCAAACTTCGGCAGAATCAGCAACAACCTTGTTCATCTTGTCAGCATTGGCTGTATGCTCCTTCGAGATTCGTTCAAAGAGTGAATCTACCATGGATTTAGCATATTCATCAGAAGAGGAAGCCTTGGCAGAGAGAATTAATTTGTCAATCTTTTCATGAAGGGACTAAAGTTGCCCTTTCGTAACCTGCACCTCATGTTCACTCTCAGTCCGAATTTGAAAAGGACTGTAAGTAAACCCCCCAAGATCTTCGTCTTCATCATCCCCAAAGACCATATCTGGGTCATCTCGGTTAATAGGGGAAATAGGAGGAGAATTATGAGACGAGAGACCTGAAGTTTTAGCCCCCGTATCAGATACGTTGACCGGGAACGAAAGGTGGGGTTGAGGTAGTAGGAGGAACTGTTGAATCAGTCAACAGTGGGATGGAGAGAGGAATGTTGGTTTGTTGTTGTGAAGATACTGGTGGAGGGCATGGAGAAATGGTAATTAGGATAGAGGTAGTTTTAGGTGAAGGAGGTGGAGAAGGAACAAAATCGTTAAAGGGTTGAGTTACCTGAGGATTTGATGTCTCCTCTGTGTTGTGAACGATTTCATATTCATTGTGAACGTCAAACTCATCCTCGATGCGAATGTCTGACTGAGTGTCAGACTCCGAACCTTCGCTTGCACTTGGTGTTGGGGTCTTTATCTTGCAAAGCAGGCTGCTTTCGCTTTTTGGGATTGGCTGCAGAAGGAGAAGTTTTCACCTTTCGCTTCTTTGGAGTGACAGCTGGCTCAGATGGACCCTCTTTCGTTTGCTTTTGCTTACCCCCCTTTTTCACTTTGTCAGTTTCATCAACTGTCAAGTGCATCTCAGGAGTAATGGTGCGAGCTCCTGAAGATGGAAGCTTTTTGTACTCCTCCAAAATTTTGCTTGCAGCTGGAACACAACGAAACATGGTCTCCGGAATGGAACCAGCAAAGGGAAACTTCGATTTGTTATCAATAATGATCTTGGTGGTGTGAAAAGTAGAAATCGAGGACATCAAGGAATCTTTCATTATGGGAATTTGGTGTTTTTCTATTGCCCTTTGAACTACAATGGTCCAAAAACGAGCACATGAAATCTCACTGTGTCGTGTCGTGGAGTGAGTACTTTGCACCAGTTGAGCCCATAGAACGGTGCCATAATCAAGGTTGATGTCGTGGTAAAGACCATACATCAGAGTCATGAAAAGCTTACTGGCACAGTCTGAACCTGTGACTCTTTCAGAAAAGGCTTTGAAGAGAAGAGTGAACAGACCATTCCATTGAGGAGGCAAGTTGGATTTCTTGAACTTGGAGATAGAAGGAATAAGTTATTTATACCCCATCTCATAGAACATCTCCAAAATAGCTGCGATGGAGATTGAGTCTGGATTCACCATGGAGTCATCGTATGCAAGCCCTAGCAGAGAACAAAACCTTGACTTGGTGATAGAGGTTTTCTTGTCATAGATTTTGAAGGTGATGTGATCTTCTTCCTTGATGTACGATGCTGAGGAATAAGCCTTCGAGAGTAGAGACATTGGGACGCACTCAACCTTAGTTAAGGCATTGACCAGAGGGGAATACTTCAGACATTCAATGATGGGTAGCATGAAAGAATGGTACTTGAATGGAGACAAATCAAGAATCAAGTTTTAATTCTGTTTGATGGCAAGTAGTGAAGAGTGAGCGGTGTGATCATGAACAGATGAAGAAACGGCCATTGTTGCAGGTTGATGAAGAAGAAGAACAGTAAAGAGAAATCGTCGTTAGGGTTTTTGAGAGAATTTGGTAGTGGTAAAAGGTAACTCTGTGAATTAAAAATCCTTTTATACGATTACGCAGGAGAGAGAATTTGAAGCATCGATTGAGTGATTTCCTTTGAAACGACGCCTGAAAAAGCGGGATTTGACAAATGTAGCCCCGATAAAGGTGTCAGGCGGCGTGATAAGTGGAAGCGTTTCAAATTCCACGCGCCTAAATTTCAAAATTTTATCCACCAACGGCCGTGTCATCATTATCTTGTTCTCATCCTTTCAATCTCCATTCGTTTCAGTAAATATCCATACGGTTGTTCACATTAGAGACACAAGGTAACTTGTGTGTATAACCCTGAGCATCAGTGAATCTACGAAACTGAAAATGCCATAAGTACCACAAGCAAGACTTTAGGAAAATCAGAGAGATCTTTGTGCGAGAGTGTGCCAAAGAAAAAGAAATAAAGCAAGATATACCTGTGGGATATTAGTGATGTCTTAAAAAGACACGAAACTATTGATCCTGGGCAACGATCACTTCCTTCAAAATCAAGAGAGACTAAGAAGTGTTTGTGTGGTTTCCCGTTGAAATACGATCAAATGTTTGACAAGAAACATTGAAATGCATCTTTTAATTATGCTCAATGGGTGGCTAACTCTCCAACCAAACAATGAACTTGACATAAGAACGAATGTTGGATGAAGTACTCGTGTGACCAGTCTAGTCAGTTGAACGAGTAGGTGTGGAATTATTTTAGTGACAAGATTAAACTTTTGAAATCTCAAAAAAATAAAAATAAAATTGGATCTTATGGGAAGAAGTATCTTGGAACCAGAACACTTCATAAAGATCTCGCAAAAGAAAACGAGATTCCTTGATACATACCACGAAGGGTGGCTTTCGTTAATTCCATGGTGAAAATCTAAAACATTTAATTGTTCACCGTCAATTCATGTAAGTGTGTTGGATTTGGGGTTTCACTCAGTTCGTGGTGAACGAAACTAAGATCATTAACATAGATGTTGTGTAACCATAAACCTCAGTGGTATAGCTGAGAGTCTCAAGGGTTACATTGATGAGTATGAAGGCAATGGAGAAATGTGAAGATGGTTCCGGAGAAGCGAATGTACCTCTGCTAAACGAAAGTGACTAAGCAGATAACTCTTAACTCAAAGTGAGAAGAGTAAGGTAGCTCATGACTAATGTAAATTTAAAAGCCTAATTGGGAAGAAACGATTGGTAGAATCGATTCATTAAGGCTTCACATCGAGTCAATAGAGGCTTTAGACAACATACAACAACATGCTTCTATGGACACTTAGCTAATACATAGATAAAGAATGTTATACCTGCCTTATCACACAAATCTGTGCCTCCATGATCTTCTTAAGATATTTTTGGTGTTTTGAAATTTGTGAAAATAAAAGAAATAAAAATAAACACAAATAAAATATTTTTGTAGTTTGAGATTTTCTGAAAAAAAATAAAAACGAAAAAAAAATATTTTTAAATTTTGAATAAAATAGAATAATGTACAAATAAAAATAAATTAACATCAAACAAAACAAAAAAAATTGTTTTTTTGATGATGCGAATTAGGGCGAACGTTCGTGCCAATTCGTGTAACAAAAATAAAATTGAAAGCGAGCAAAAATTATTTGGTGCGAATTAAGGCGAACGTTCGTGTCAATTTGTGTCCCGGAAAAATCGGAAACGAATTAAAGCGAGCGCTCGTGCCAATTCGCGTAACAAGAATAAAAACGAAAAAGGATACCAAGAGAGAAAAAGAACAAATATTTTTGTATTTTTTTGGATTTTTCAAATAAAAGATTTTTGAAGTTTTGAAACACTATACATAAAGTACAAAAAGGATATTGGTTAAACCGAACCAAAAATGAACAGTGGACAGCGAGTCTCTGCGAGCATTCGCATCGATTCGCGTCAACAACTTTATTAAAGGGAAGGTGGTTTCGATATAGATTCAGCTTCCACCATTCCTAGGCCTTGAAGAATTCTGTTGAAGGTTGTTTCAGGAAAGTCTTTTGTGAAATGTCAGCCAACTGATCAGCGGATCTCACGAAGTGAATTTCAACGTTGCTGTCTTCTACGTGATCCTTGATGAAATGATACCTCAGTGCTATGTGTTTCGTCTTTGAGTGTTGCACTGGGTTGTGACAAATGCGAATAGCACTTTCAGAGTCACAATATAGTGGGATTCGTTTCATGCTTAAGCCATAGTCACGAAGCTGACTTTGAATCCAAATGACTTGAGATGTACATGAGGCAGCAGCTATATATTCAGCTTCAGTTGTTGACAAGGACACACACGTTTGCTTCTTGGATTGCCAACTGACAAGTTTTCCATCTAGAAATTGGCATCCTCCAGTTGTGCTTTTTCTATCTAATCCACATCCCCCAAGGTCAGCATCCGAAAATGCTTGTACGAAGAAGCCTGATTTCGCAGGGTACCATATGCCAAGTGATGAGGTTCGTTTTAAGTATTTGAAGATATTCTTGACGGCCACCATATGAGGTTCGCGTGGATTTGCTTGGAACCTAGCACAATAACAAACGGAAAACATAATATCTTGTGTACTAGTTGTTAGATACATCAATGATCCTATCATTTGACGATAAAGGGTCATATCAGCAGTTGGTTTTTCCAGAGATGGTGTCAGTTTCGTTCCGAATGCCATTGGAACCTTCACTTTAGAGTCTCCCACCATGCCAAACTTAGCTAGTAAGGTCTTCGTATATGCTTCCTGATTTATGAAAATGCCTTCTGGTCCCTGTCTTATATTCAATCCAAGGAAAAAGTTAATTGGACCCATGGAGCTCATGCTAGAATTCGTAGAACCCAAGATGATGTCATCAACATAAATTTGGACGATCATTAAGTGGTCACCCTATTTCTTGCGAAAGAAGGTTGGGTCAACCGAACCTTGTTTAAATTTAGACATTTTAAGAAAACGAGTGAGAGTTTCATACCAGGCTCTCGGAGCTTGCTTCAGACCATAGACTGCCTTATCCAAGATGTAGCAGTGATTGGGATATTTCTCGTTTTCGAACCCTGGCGGTTGTTCCACGTATATAGTTTCTTCTAATTCTCCATTCAAGAACGCATATTTAACATCCATCTGAAACACCTTAAAGTTCTTGTGTGCTGCGTATGCCAGGAAGAT